GGGGGGGGGGGGGGGGGGGGGTGCCGATTTTGCAGCCGGCTAGGCAGGCCTGTACGGAAAATTTTTGTCATCTATAACTCGATATAAATGCGCGTTCGAATGTATGCGTGCGCGCGCGCACGACGCGGGCTCCGTTCATTTTCGACCAAAAGCGCGGCTGCGTTCCGAAAGCCGCAATTACATTATTAACAATTGCGTGGTCGTAGTTTTGTACAATCCGAACGCTCGATTCGCTATTATAGAGCGCAGGCACACGGGACTATCTATCCATCTATCCTTCCATCCCCTATATACATACGCACATGCACATACATGTGTTAATATGTATGTGTGTGTGTGTACGTGCACTGCAGTTGCAGAATTCCACGAGTGTTTATTCAAATTCCAAGTTTGGCGTCGTCGTCGTCGTCGTCGCTGCAGCGATGACGTTCTACGGCGGCGACGGCTACGATGACGACGACCAAGTTTTGCTTTGCAGTTTTGATGCAACCCTCGCTCGCGCGCGCAAATTCCCTCGCGCGGAATATATTTATCGCGTAAGTTTTGTAAACTTCGCCAAGAGCTGCGCACACCTACATGTATGCGCGTATAGATAGATCACCCCGCACTCGTGTATTATTGTATGTACGGAAGATGTGCGCATTATATGCCCATGTGCATGTGCGCCGGAAGTAGATAAATACACGGAGAAAGAGAGTCGATATACTGAAATGTAGCTTATACAATTATCTATTAATCTGACGCTTGAAAGGCAACGATTGTGCTTTGTTTAGGGTTTCGAGCCGCGATACGAAAGTAGTATTTTGTCGAAATATTTGCAAAACGATGAAGCAAGAAAATAACTGCACTGTTCAGTAGAGCCAATGAATATTAATTTTAGTTCATAGTAGAAATGAATTTTAGTTCATATGTTTTAATCGATCTGTGTTACTCACCAAATTTTTTAGAATAATCAAAATCATAAATGAGTCCACGAGCAGACGAAATTATTAATTAACTACGATTTCGATTTAAGAGTGTCAGAAAAGTGCAAATAGATACGTGGAAAAAATTAATTTAGTTGGAAAATAGAGCTGAGAGTACAGGAGAAGCTTCGGGTGGAGAAGTAACAAGAAAGACGTCAACCTCCATCGGGTATGTAATGGTATTCGATTGGTCAAATAAAAATGTTTCAGATTCAGACACTCCAGATTAGATTGGAAAAATCTACTGTTCAGATGCGTTTGTTGTTCATGATAAAATGTATGGTTATAGATCGGAACAAAAAGCAAAATGATTAAATTATGATAATGATAGAAACGTCTTTATTCGGCTTAATGTTCGTTGTAATCCAACAGGCAACAGCAGACAATGATGCTTTTCACAAAACAAAGGATACTCGAATTTTAAAGATTACCTGAAATATGCACTGATCAGCACAAGTTATACAATTATTTTGACTTTTTCACTCGCAGATTTCACAGATAATGGTACTCGCCATCTAGTGGCGAAAGCTTAAAATGACATCGTCGTATTCAAGGTGTTTGAAAGCAATTAAATTATAATTTTTGGTCACTTAAAGTGACTCTCGATATTTGTAACATACTCGTAACAGAAAACTTACCAATCGACGCTAATGTATTTTAAAAAATGTTGAATAATAATCATTCGATCATCGATGTTGAGCAGTTCCGCCAAGGCCTATGTACCAGAGGCACGGACATTTATTCGATTTAGAAAAGATCATACAGAAAAGCCATGAGTTTTTTTAAGAGTAGCGAGTCATAGAAACGAACGCCTTTTCAATTTTTATATAAATGTATACACATTCACAAGCACAAGGCGGCTGCGGCGCCGCAGCTCGAAAGTTTTTCAGCTCTCCCGCAGGCGAATGAGCAGTCTTATGAACGCGACACCGGGGCAGACCTCATTTGCGAGCTACTCTCGTTAGAAGCGAGCTAGTATACCTCACGTGTAACTACAGTACCGCGCGACATCCCAGGGAGAGTAGTTCTACGTGCATACGTACACGTGCCTTAAATTATGTATATAATACACGACGATGATGACGCAAACGTACATAGACGTAGTCGTAGAAGGGCCAGCAGCAGCGCTGCATGTGCCTGTATATAAGCAAAATGATTAACTACCCGCTATTCAACTTACTCACTCTCTCTCTCTCTCTCTCTACTCGTGCCTTCGCGTAATAATTTTGGACGCTTCTTCTTTTCTATACGATCGCGCGCAATCTCCGGCTCATTCATTTCAGTTTTTTCCAGCTGCTGCTGCTGCTCTTCTCGTATTCGTTTCAGCCTTGGTATACCGACGTCTCAGGCTTCGCGTAGACCTATCGAGAGACGGTCGCGATGCTACCCACCTTCATTCGTAATTTGAATTTGACCGAGATACTGCCATTTTTAATTCGCGGTTATTAAAAACAACCAAAAAAAAAAAAATTGAAAAAACGCGATCGACTCAACGACGTGAATTCTCACCGTACACGTCGTACCTTGATAAAGCTCGTAGTAAAGGTTTGCATAGCAGCTAAAAGTACTCCGTGCGCGTATGTATTACGTTTGTACATAATATGAGATACAGTAAAGAGCAAGTGGCGGTGCGGCGGCGGCGGCGGTGGCGGCAACAACACAAACGCGCTTATACTCCGAAAGCAGCAATTTCAGTCTTATCAAGCTTCCTCCGAAAACGAGCATATTACAGCCGTAGTCTGTAGCCTGTGCGAGTGTGTGCGTTGCTGCTGTCTATCTGAGAGAACGAGAGCGTCTGTCCGCCGACGCCGACGCTTGCGGGGGTGTAAACTGTGAAATAAGCGCGTGGCGGCGCGCGTCTACTGTTTTCTCTCGGGGGACAGCAGCAGTGCACACACACAGCAGCAGCAGCAACAGCAGCAGCCGAGTCGGAGTAACTGAAACGACGCGGCGAGACACCGATAAAACGCTTTTCCAAAAAGACACCTTTGAGCCCCGAAACGACTGACGGATATTGCAGCTCGGATGCAGCTTTTTTCTCTTTCTTTCGCTCTCGCTCCGTCACGGGATGCAGCGCAAGTCGGTAATACGAAGCCGCACACGTTGGGCTTGTCTTAATACATATCCGTTCGCGGAAGATGGAAGTGCTAAATTTAAGGTATATAATACAGAATACATGAGAAAAACCGATCCGGAGGCGCTAAATGTGTCACACGCACACGCGTTCGCGCGTCTTCGTCAATGCTCAAAAGGACGTGTCCGCGTTGCTCGAGGTCTGCAGCTCGTTAAAAGCGACTCTCGCTACTTCATCTCTTCCTTCATTCATAGCATATTGAAATGAAAAATAACAATAAATCGAGGTAAATGTACGAGGCCTCGAGCCGTACGATAAGCTATGTGTGTATATCTAAATGTCACTGCGTACACTCTTTATAGACAAATGTACGTTCGGACTCGAGCATTTCAATTTTAGAAATTAATCGCCTCGTTGAATAAACGTCTTACCTATATCTGTGACCAACGATCACGATGCCATACCGTCGAGAGCTTGCCTCGCTCGGTCGAGCGCAATTATTATTACGCATCGCGCGCGTCGCGCGATATACGCCGCGAGACCATAAACGCATTCTCTCGTACGTCCCGTGTACCGTACACACACTTAGCGCCCGGCGAATTACGATGCCTCGCACGTCTCGGCGAATCTACATTACGCCTACTACTAGGTATACACACAAACGGGGCTGTATAAGATTGTAAATATTTTCTCTGCGACTCGAGACTCGAGTCTCCACGCTTATATTATATTGCTCGCTGCTGCTCTTGTTACCGCTGCTGCTGCTGCTGCTGCTGCTGCCCAACCCGAAAAGTTGATATTTTTCGTTTATTTATCGTTTAAACATGCGGCAAACAAGCGGCGGGCGGCGCCACCCGAGCTTTGTTTCCTCGTCGGAGAGCTTGCATTTTAATGCCCCGGCCCCTTGCCGAGCTATGCTAATTTTTCGCCACTTGTACAGAGTAGCAGCCACCGGAGAGTTTCTTGCAAAATTGCCGTTGCCGTTGTGACCGCCTGTGTTCTCTCTCTCTCTCTCTCTCTCTCTCTCTCTCTCTCTGGTAAACACGCAGTTGTATATGTATGTAAGCGCGTCGCGCAGCAAAATGTAATTAATCGTACGCTGCGACTCTACCCGAGGTCTGCAGCTGCGAGTACATATAGTGATCCTAAAGACTATAAAGCGCGGCTAAAGGACGTAACATTTTCCTCTCTTCGCGATTGTACAACAACGAGTATGAATTGTGTCGCCTGAACGATCGAATTATCAAATTTTTTAATTTCGCTCATTTGCAGAAGAATAAATCAACTAGCTCGAGTACAGGAGTACCGTGCATAATAATGCATAGTATGGGGGTGTGCGCTACTATACGAGTCGTCGTCGTCCCCCCTGCGGATCCGTGTCTGCAAGACGCTCTGCGTGTGGTGGTAGTAGTGGTAGTAGTAGTAAAAGTATATGTGTATACGTATACAGTTGGAAGGTACTTACATTGCCAAAGGCTTCTGCCGATAGTAGTGTATATCTGCTTCGATTCTCCTATATAAACACACTTTTAAAGCTTCGATCGTAGTCAATTTTATTTATTTATTTATTTATTTTCTCTTTTTTTGCACGCGAATGTACGTATGTTCTTTTTGTTTTGTTTGTCGCGAGATTACGAAAAAAAAAGGCAAGTATTGTCGAACGCAGACGGTACTCGTGAAAGAGGAACGATATGCTTTTAACCGATTCTCGTATGGTTAGTAACTAATGACTCTCAGCACGATGCACTTCCCTTTTATTGGTGTCGATAAAAAACACTGGCACATTACTTATAGCGGAATATTATTGTTATTACAGCATCATCACCGTGTGATTTTCGTTAATTCGTACTCGTTCGTATGAACAAAATTGAATGATTTTCAAATGTGTTCGCTCTTGCTTTGCATTCGAAAAAAAGAATAAATAGAGGATACCTATATATTTTCCTCACTGAGGATGACTCACATGCCGCGTCTTTACGTGTATATATATATAACTATGGCACAAATGTAAGTATACCATTCAAGTATCAAAATGACAAATGCCAAAGCTATCTCATCGCACTCACTCGCATATCGCCGGGTGGGAAAATAATTCGACACTGCAAAAACGCGCTGCTCTTACAACGACGCACGCACGGTATGCAACGCGGATACTCAACGCGACGATCGAGAGATGCGACGGCCTTCTGCGTCCGAGGGGTGCGCTAGTAGCGGCGGCACTGAGCGTCATCGGCTCCTGTATTCTCGACGCGCTCGGCACTAGCGATCGCATATACACCTACCCTACCCTGTGACCCCTCGAGACGCCGACGCCGCCGCTGCCGCGCCGCTCGTATATGTAGCCTTATGATGCGCCGCGCGAAAACTTCGTGTGCACTCTGTCTACGCGTCTTTTCTCTCTTTCTCTCCCTCCCTCTTGCACTTTCGGCCACTTTGATTGAGCAAAAACATCATTCGGTCGTATGTCGAAGATGAGAATTGAAAATGCTTCGCTTACGATTTGAGAGTACCAGAAAAGTGCAAATATAGATATGTCGAAAAAAAAATTAATTGACTTGGAAGTGCAGCTGGGAAACGAGTCGAGAAGTAACAAGAAAAACGTCAACATCCATCAAGTATGTAAAGATATTCAATTATTTTCAACGGTTCAAGTAAATTTTATTTTAATTTCATAACAAAAATAATGTCGAATAGGCCAGTCAACTGTTAGGACAGTCTTTAATTAATTTATTGAGGTTGCACATTTTATCACGGATCAGTGCAACTTCTACAATCATGTTGATTTTGTCACTTGCAGATTTCACAGATAAAGCTACGTAGCCATCTAGTGATGAAGACTTGTAGTAGCATCATCGTATTCGAAGTATTTTAAAGCTGATCTGAATTTTTTTAAAACGGTCAAATTGTCGTTTTTAGGTCGTTTAAAATGCGCCCAATATGTCTAACACAATTGTAACGGACCAATTGCCAACAATAAAACAATTAATTTTAATGTATTTTAAAATACATTGTTACGTAAACACTATACGTTGTTTTATCTAAAAACAGCCTCAAAAAATGATAGCGCGGAAAATTTTTATCATAAAAAAGTGAAAACAAAAACACCCACTGAAATACATGGTGCATCAACGTTATGTTTCGTGTAGAGCAGATGCCACGAATTTCGGCAAGAGCAAAGTCAGAGCGCATCCTCGCCTCGACCGACGGACAAATAATTCAATGCAGCTCTTTCTCGAGCCAGCGCGTGTTCAACAGTCGGTAAAAAGTGAAAGATGAATTCAAACATGTGGTACTAATAACATCGTAAGATCGTGATATAATCGATAATTTTCGTCCTTTTTGTTTTAAATTAAAACGAAATTTGAAATTTTGGTATATAGAAGTCAAATGAAACGTCCTAAAATTCCGTCAAAAATACGAAGAATACTTTTTCCTTTCTCCATTAAATTATGTAAATAAACTCATGACCTATCTGATATACTGCGTACTCTCACACTTGCTTTTTGTTAAACTTTTTGAAAAGGACTACCGCTACACGTAAATCATTCAACAAAATATTATTAAAAATTAATGTATAAAATGCGATATAAACATTGTTTGAATAATTTAGTTTTCTAAATTACGATACATCATTGCATACATTTTCTTTAAAATTTTACTGAAAACTCGTGCAGTGAGTTCCAGCGCTTGATCGCAGCAATTAGTTCCATTACGCCTTGAGCATCGATCACATCTTATTTACTTTTTCGTACAAATTACGCGACGGTAATCCATGCTCTTTAGCGACAACCGATCTATTCATTTTTTATTCTCATACGCTCATAGACCAATGCAGGTATCTCCAGCCCGATGACGTCTGCCAATTAGCGAGCATCTAACTCCGGCGGTGAGGTGTTTTGGTCGGCAAGTAGCAGCCAGCTCCCGGACTTATGCCGGAGGGAATGCTCGTGAGCAAAATCTAGGAAAAAATTGGATTCAACAGAGTACTTAGTAATATCAACAAACTTAAACATATTATTCTCTCACCCACCTTACTTTCTACTGCTTCAAGATCGACTGCTAGGTGGCGTATCCCGAGAAAGTTGCTCCCGCAAGTGGAAATTAACTTTTTAACATAGAAGTACAAGTGGCCGTGGCTTAATTCTTTGACCGTTTAACAGCAAATACTTCGCCAGACCCCCCTAAAAAACTTCTTAAAAAAGTTCTTGTGGCTAAGAAATATCTCTTTCGTGGCCGTTCTCGAGCTGCAATAAATTTTAGATTTTTCATCTGTCAATGTGTCGCAATTTTCATCTCATTTCGCCAAATAATCGGCATATTTCTCTCTCAACTGCACATAATTCATCCGGCTTCCTTAAAGTCTTACGACCGACTGATCGTAGTTATATATAGCTGATTGTATACATAGATAAACTTCGCTAGTGGTATGTATACTTTATCTAGGTCCAGTAAATTATGGGAGCACCCTTCGCACCTCTTGGACATCTAGAGGCCAAAGTATGAAGTAGACAATTCGGTGAAAACGGTCAGTATATGAGAAGAAGTTATTCAAACTCAAACAACACTTTTACTTTGGCAATCCGGATACTGATAAGCCCGAGAGTTCACTCCTTCGCTACGTCTGGTATACGCGTGCGTCAGGAGAGTTTTGATGCATCGGTGATTCCGAGGGTTCAATTCGTAAGGGGATCAGAGCTAATTGCTCTCGTTACAGTTTCAGACAACAGCTCCAGAACGTTGAAAATATTTTTCGTTCTCACTCCTTTTTTAATTCGAGAATTGGTACAGTTAGCGGCTGAATATAACTGACCGGTTGCTGGCGATTGGCTGCCACAAAATTTTCTCCTCAGTGCAGTGGAAAAATTGAGATTATGTTTTATGAAGTGGTGCTGATTCATTGACTCACATCTATTACGGTGGGGTGCGTGATTCGTCCATGATAATGTGCCCACTGACAGTGTTAAAAAACAAGCACAGTGCCTACTTGACCCTCGGAAACATAATTATGCTGTGCAGTTTCGGTACAAATGCAGCGCCAGAATCGACTCCAATCTTGCGTCAAAACACACAACGCACACCTGTAGTGGGCACATCAACTCTAAGTGAGAGTGCATACAGAACTGTTAGTTCGTAAAATTAACAAACTCGGACATATTATTTTCTCGACCTCTTCACTTTTACCAGCTTCAAGATCGACCAGCAGATGGCGTGTACCAAGAAAGCTGCTTCCGCAACTGAACATTCTTTTTTCAAGATATAAGTAGAAGTAGCCTTACTGAAGCGCCATATGATTTCATTCGTGTTCTGTAACGTTGGGGGGTTAAGTAACTGTGAAGTGATTTTAAATAAATCAAAAGCAATGAGGCTGTTAATCATTGTAATAATACTGCGGTATAAATCGATAAAATCAATTGAATACTATTTATGAACGTGGAATGCGGATAGATTAAAAGTGTTTTATGAAGAATTTTTTCTTTTACAGAAACAGCAGAGCTTGTTGAAAAAAATATACGGATATAATATAATTAAAGCAATTAAAGTATTCAAGTAATATTTGTATTTATTTATTCATTAATTTTGAATAATTTTCTACTGAATGATAATATACGCATAGTGGTAATTCTATTTAAATAAAATCAGTTAAAAACAATTGACAGTCGATCCCTGCCGTTTGAAAGTTTAATTTTAAAATTTTACAATTGCTAAAATTTTTAGTTCTAAACATTCAATAATTACTTACCGATCATTTCAATTGGATTGAATTTATTCCGTGAAAAATATTGAGAAAAACTCCATATTTATCGCTTTTTTTGTGTTTTAAAATTATTCGTGAGTTAACAACAGGCGAAATATCGTATAAAATTACATTTTTGAAATGTTTTTAATTTTCAATGATCAAACTGTACTTCATTATTAGAGAATTGATTCCTCACTTTTAAAATAAATTAAAAGACGTACAGATGAGCTCGTCTTGGTCGCCAAATGATTTCAGTTGGCCAAACCGCGAAGCATTCGATCTCGATTCGAGGCGGCACATTACTTGGATAGTTGAAAGTTTCGGAGAGGCCATTTTGTACTATTGCGCCTCTATCGTGTGAAATAGCTACATGCTCTCGTTTAATCGTACCGGATAACAGGTCGGAGTTTCATTTTGTAAGAGATTTAGATCCGTTGAATAACGTAATTTTTGTACACATTATAACACAAAAGGTAGAAAAAAATTGTTCGGTTAAAAGATCAGGGCCTCCGCCGTGCAACTACAAAATAGTTTGCTTGTACTGCAAGCGACGAAATATTTCGAATAGTTACTAATTCGTGAAATGTTATGTAACAACGATAAACATTTTTATTAAGATTCCATATTTTTCAGCTGACATCTTTTTCTAGGTAGATTTTCAAGAACTATCAGTAAATTATTTAGAGAGTGGAACGGAAATTTTAAGAAAAGATATCAAAATTTTGTTATAATATTGTGAATCTTATAGATCCTGAACGCGTCGCCCTAGAGCAGGAAGGTATCGCTTCCAATTCTGCAGCATAGGGATACTCACTGGCGCGCAGAGGCAAAAAGGTAACTAATTGAAGCGTGACACCAAAACAGTACCTTGTTCAAACGCCGTAGCAAGAAAATTCTAACTCGCTGAATTTAGGTTAGCAACGCAGCCATAATCATATAATTTTGTTCTGAATTTGAGATAAAAAAAGAAAAAAACATATGACTTGCTGTAAAGATTTTCATCTACTTGTAATGCGAGCAAACAAATAGATTTCACCATTTTATCGAGTCAATCTGCCACTTATAGAGAATTTTGTAAGTTTTGAGATGAAACTAGAAGTGATCGTCTTCACGCAACTTTAAATTACATTTTGAATATTGAATTTTGAAACTAAATTTTAATATTTACGACTGCGTTACCAACCTAAATTCAGCGAGTCGAAACTTTTTTGCCACCGCATTTGAACAAGGTACTGTTTTGGTGCCGCGCTTGAATTAGCTACCTTTTTGCCTCTACGCGCCAGTGAGTATCCCTATGCTGCAGAATTGGAAGCGATACCTTCCTGCGCTGTGACGACGAAACCAAAAATCCTTATTTATAATATAAGATACTATTTATTCGATCTTATAACGAGTTTTTTTAAAATACTTTGTTTTAGAAGGCTAAACAATTCCTCGGAGAAATCGTAGCTAAGTTCGAATTTTAAACTGGTTCAAATATTGTTAAGACAATGTATAAACAGACAAATTGGTAACTTTAATATAAACAGTATGATCGTTAACGATTTTGACATACCAACTCGAGACACTAATTACGTTTACAGTGAAAATAAATTAATTTGAATCCTGTCTTTCTCGATTAACCAAGCTATTATACTAAAAGGTAAATTATACTCATTAAATTCTCGTAGCACTGAATTGAAAGATCCATTAGTTATTTCAGGCACCGAAATGAACAAAAGTGATAAGGAATCCCAGGAAGCTGTCTCAATATATAATTCAAGTCGATATGACAAAGAATACGTTTGTGATATTTGTCAGGAGGAATTCATACTGGAATCAAGCATGATAACACACCGAAAAACAATTCACAATGATCAAAAAGATTACGTATGCGACAAGTGTGAAGAGAAATTTAAGTTCCGAAGTCATTTGAGTAGACACCAAATATCGGTACACAAAGGCCCCAAAGATTTCTCATGCAACAAGTGCGAGAGAAAATTTGAAAATAAATCAAATTTACAGAAGCACAAGAAAATATTTCACGAAGTTTTCAAAGATTACCTATGTGAAAAGTGCGCGAAGAGATTTGGAAACAAACAGAGTTTGCTTCTACACATAAAGACAGTACACGCCAATTGCCAGAAGAAATTCGGACAAAAATCGAAGTCGATCAGACACCAAAAGACAGTCCAGGAGGGTCGCAGAAATTTCGCATGCGACGAGTACGGAGAGAAGTTTAGAAACAAATCTCATCTGCTTTTCCATCTGAAGATAGTTCACAATGTCTGCAAAGATTACTTATGCGACAAATGCGGGAAGAAATTTGGGGCTCGAAGCAGTTTGACTAAACACCAAAAAATAGTCCACGAAGGTCGAAAAGATTACTTATGTGAAAATTGTGGAAAAAAATTTGAAAGAAAATCGTATGTGTTGAAGCATCAAAGGACAGTCCACGAGGGTCGCAAAGATTTCGCATGCCACAATTGCGAAAAGAAATTTGGAGATCGAAGCTCTTTCATTAGACACACAAAAATAGTCCACGAAGGTCACAAAAATTATGCATGCGACGACTGCGAAAATAAATTTGGATATAAATCAGAGTTATTGAAGCACAAAAAGACATTGCACGAGGGTCAAAAAGATTACGCTTGCGACAAGTGCGAGAAGAAATTTGGAAAAAAATCGAAATTGCTCATTCACCAAATGACAGTACACGAAGGTCGCAAAAATTACTCGTGCGACAAATGCGAGAAGAAATTTGGACAAAAATCACATTTGCTAATCCACTTAAAGACAGTACACGAAGGTATCAAAGATTTCGCTTGCGACAAATGCGAAAAAAAATTTGGACAAAAAGTGAGTTTACTCGTGCACATAAAGACAGTCCACGAGGGTCGCAAAGATTTTGCATGCGACAAGTGCGAGTACAAATTTATCTATAAATCAGATTTGTTTAAGCACAAAACGATAGTTCACGAAGGTCGAAAAGATTTCGTTTGTGATGAGTGTAAGAAAAAATTTGGACGAAAATCGGATTTGTTAAAGCACCAAAGGACAGTACACGAAGGTCGAAAAGATTTTCTATGCGACAAATGCGAGAAAAAATTTAGAGATAAATCGAGATTGATTAGACATCAAAAGACAGTCCATGAAAATCATTACTATTTCGTACGTGATCAAATGCAAGCAGACGTTTAGGGATTAAAGCAATTTTATTTGAATAAAAAAAAAAGTTCATGAAGATCGCAAAGATTTCATATGCGGGAAGTGTGAGAAGAAATTATATTGTCTCCATATTGAAATTTGAGTTGACACCGAAAACAATATAAAATTAACAGAAACTACCTGTTTGACAGTTCTCGAAGTTTGTTAAGATTACGTTACGTATGTGTCATTGTACGTCTTTTTTCACTTTCGTGGTGGTGTTTCATTATAAATCAAATTTTGCGTACTACCAATTGCTACATCCCGTTTTTTGGCGAAACACTTCATTTAACAAACCTCACGTAATGATGCTTTTCGCGCCATGACGGATTGAATATTTCTGCCAACATAGAGATGTGATCCGTAGTAACGATGTGTTGTTACTGATAAACCGACGTGTAAACCATTATTAATTTAATATATGACAAAAAATGGTTTCTATATTTCTTTGAAATTATCAAAAGCTCTCAATTGTTTCACTCTTATCCTGAGTACTTATATCAATTTGAGTTTTCAAAAATCATCTGCCCAAAGTTAGAGAGGTGAATTGGGATTTCTTTCGATTCAAAAACTGCTTCAGTTATATAACATCGTAATTACTTCCAACATGTTTTTCTCAAAATAAAACTCAAAATAAATTCATTGAATTTGATAGAAATATTTCTTTGCAAGAATTTCATGAGATAGAATAGAGTATATTATTCTAGTTTTTATTTCTAGTTTAAATTAACAAAAATTACAGTTTATTATTAAATAAATATTTAAAATTATAATACTTGTGCAACATAAACAAGTGTGAAATTTTATATTAGGATTGAAGAAACTTTAGAAGATTGCGTGTGTTCATCATCTCACATTTAGCTACGCTGCGGTCATTTTCATTGATCAACTCAACGAATTTGTAAATAATCATGTACTCTTCTCAGTATTTTGATTTATAATTTCATCTTCTAATCTGTTACATTTTCGCTAATAAAATAAAAAGAAAAGGATAATAAACTTGCACTTTAGTCTCTTTCTCTCTCAAATGGAGTTATTACATATAGTATGATAAATCGCGAACAAGTTATTAAAACAAATAAACAGTTGCTGAAGGCTTTGTGGTGCAAGCCTCATTCTTAAATATCCTCAATTGTCTTCGCTGAAAATAAATTACTCCAAAATAAAACATTCAAGTCAGGTGAGTAAATAGGTATGAAGCTGGTTAACTTCTTTAATTACTCGATAAAAAATTTTTGATTTTCCACCTATGGTAAAATAATTCAAAACTTTGGCTAATGATGTTATTCAATATTTTTATTTTATTCTGTAATGCAATAGTTATGCTTGAAAGGACTGGGAAAAAATTATGTCATTGAAAATGAATGATAATAATATCGTTATACTATCAAGCTATCGAATTTATGTGCATGTTTAAGTAGATAAATTATTAAAAGAGGTAACAATGGTTTAATATATTTTAATGCAAAGTAATACTAAAAAATCTTTTCATAGGAGTTTTTTAAATTGATGTCTCTAAAAATTTTCACTATAATATTAGAATTTAGTATATTTGAAAGCAGCCAATTGAGTATCAGAGGGGTAATAGAATTTTTCAACTTTAACTTTGCCAGAAAATGTATGCATGGTGGGGATTTGGAAAAGCTTAACGACACGCAACACTCTGGTAACAATAAATTGAAATTGCATTTAAACCATCATCTTATTTCAGAAATTCTAATTAGAAATGATAAATTCATTATTCCGAGCTTCTTTCATATTAGTATATGAAATGAAATAATTATGACTTGAAAATAATTTGAGCGACGTTTTATTGGTCAAACTGAGATTATAATTTTGAATATTACAAACGTATATAGAAGCGTAAAATTCATGCTTGAAATGAATACACGAATTAATTAAAAAGATTCAAGTTTGACTATCTTACATTTAAAAATTATACTATTCGTGAAATATTTCCCATGTAAATAAGACAATGCGCGTGAATATTATTTATCCTGATTGTAGTTCACAGCAAAACATTGCAATTTTTACAAGGCAAACTAAATTACACTTTTTTTATTAGAACTAATTCACTTTTTTAGAAAGTTTCTCCAATAAAAAGTTGTATTACATTCGTACGTTTTCGCGCTTTTTTTTCTTTAAAACTTGTTACTTTATTGAGATATGAAGAATATTATCTTGCTCAATATCATTTTACCAATATCAATAATTTCTTATAAATTACAATAGATCATAATTTTACTAACAAAGAATTGAAATAAATTTAAGAACTCAATACTACTATTTGTTTGACACAAGAATTCAACTATTCTCAAGAAAATCTAGTCAAACATACTATAAAACAATCATTTTATCGAATATGCAAAAAAATAATTCACATGGCTCATGCATTCTGTTCTTTACAATTTTAGGCCATGCATATATAATAATAACAAGTCGATCGAAATATAATGAGAAATCATTTTAAATTTTTAAAACATTCATTTTCTTCAATTTTTCAACATAACAAGTCACGCTCATTCGGATTTTCAAGAGCAGTCCGCTAAATATTATCAGAGTGGTGCGAGCGATAAGCTTTTTTTTACGATTTGGGATACTATTGCTTATTAATTACAATCATGAAATAAATAAATAATTAATTACTAAAAAATAATCGTGATCTTTGTCTTATTTAGATGTGAATGAATTTTATAAAAAACAGTACCTTGCACTTGTCACTCAGTTTGAGTGCAAGCGCGAGTCCTCTCCAACGCTGCGTCGAGCATAAAACGTTGCGTTACGTGAACACAGGATGCATTTGTCTTTTATCAATTATTATGGTGATAGATGCATCTTTTGATAGCAAAAGACGATGTCATCTTTTCTTAAATTTAATCGAAGTTGAATTTCGACTACTATATAAATACTTGAACCAAGTAAAATTAAATTTTTAAAATAAATAAATCAGCAGTTTCTTGTGTGTAAGTTAACTTATGTAGAATTTCGTCTAGAAATATTTTTTAAAAAACCAAAAACAATATATCTAACTAGATGTAGATACCTATCAACATTGGGTTCAACAATTTCTTAAAAAATGAGAACGCAGAATTTTAATTTTACTATTCAAAGCAATATTTACAAAATATTTATTCATTTCGTTTTGATTGTTTTTTCAACCGGTTAAATTTGTATAAAAATCTATTTACATGATCGATAAATAGAATTAAATGGTATATTGATGACTTAATAAGTTTGATTCAAGTAAATAAAGACTGATCCTTATTGATTGTATAGTAAACGATTATACCGTGATAAACATAGAAAAATCCGAATTTATCGTACGAATGTCGGACTAGCGTCTATATATCAATGAAGCTTATATTTTTCAATCTTTCTTAAAATATAAATATACTCTATATTTATGTATTTCATTTGCATCGCATGCTAACATAATATTTACATACAAAAACATGACTCAATCTATAAATCATATTTCAGTATTTTTCTTGGACTTTTGGTCCTGTGTTCACTATCACAGCAGTTTTTATTTAATATTATTTTCAGAGTTAGCAGTGCTTGAAGGAACTCTCGATTTGCACTTTCTGTTCTTTCATTTAATGTTTCCATCATTCACACAAGCACTTTATCGCTTAATCACGATGATTTATTCAGAAATCTCGCATTTTTTATAGCTTTTCCTTAAAAAAAATATTCTTACCAATACGTCATAAATTAAAGATAATTGAGATTGTCCGATTCGAAATACTCTAATTTTTTAAGTTAACTTTAATGACGTATTATAAAAAATATATCAAAATCGAAAGAGAGCTCGGCTGCTCTCACCACTCTATAAATGTTTCACTTTGGACGCATTGACTTTGATATTAAGTATTCATATTAATAATAATTTGTTTTATTATAATAAACGACTTTACGTAATAACCATTATAGCTATTTATAATGTAATATTTTTAAACTCATAATTACACGTCGCGGTTGTAAACCGCTCTCGAATTCATCATATGTACAACATACACGAGCACGCGCGTTTGTTTACTATTTATAAAAAAAAAAAGAAGTTCATGTACATTCAAGATAGGTAAATTTTACTGATAATCGACTTATCATACTTGATTCTTTCTTTCTCGCTTTCTCGCTTCATATCAAAAGATTTAGCATTCATTCTTAGACACACGCGCAAATAAATTGTATTAATAATAAAAATTGTTTAATAATAGAGATTATTATCATTACGCCTCTGTTGTCTGCTCTTCTGGCTGATTGGGTCGATCTGTTGATGTTGGGTTATTTTCACTTTCTATGTGGGCAAGCTCACATTTTTCTTGCTGTGATGAAGTTTCAAAATGTTCTTGCACTGATTCAAACCTCTCTTGTGGTTGATCAAACTTGTCGTGCTCGTTGTGCGAGGAAGACGTTTCTTCAAAATGTTCCTGAGTCATGGGGCATGAATCGAAACTTTCAGTCCTCTGTTCTGCAGCCGATTCAAATTTTTCTGCGAATGGAGGAGGTTCAAAAGATTCTTGAGCTCTTTCGAATCTTTCTTGTGGTGCAGAATCGAACCTCTCCTCACTTTTTTGTTCAAATTCATTTTGTTGTGGCTCATTCATTTCTTGATTTCTTTCACAGTTTTGTGATGTTGCATAGTTCTCTTGGTATTCTTGTGGTTGATCGAAACCTCCATGCGACTGTAGAATTTTTGAAATTGTTTATAAGGATTTATGGTGATATTCAACTAATTCAGATACTTTCGATTGTGCAAAGCTAGCGTTAAGTGTTTATATGATTATTTATATTAATAAAATATGAAAAATCATTTTACGTCAACTATCCAGGTTTGAAAAAGTATTATTTAATCGAACAAAATAATAGCATTTTTATAAGGGAAACCCGACGATAACTTTTGGTCGTTAATTTTGAAGAAGTTGTTACTTCAATGACCCCAAATAGTAGGTATTAAATCCTGATATTTCAGCACTATGTAATGTTTATATCAATTAATATCAATTAATGATCTTACCTGTGAATCAGTATTTTGTTCTGTCTGCGACATTGAATCAGGTACAAAATTCGTTTTATCTGTATTTTCATTATTCCAAGACGATGGACCTTGCTCCAGAGTTTGCTCGTGCGCCGAGGCAGAAGTTGATTCATTCCACTGTTCTGCATTTTGAGCAGCAGGCACTTTTGATGCATCGTTTTCTGCTTCGTTATTTTGTGACGAGTTCCAGGTATCTTCATGCTCATTTTTGTCGTTGCCACTTGCAGACTCACTTTTGTCTTGCTGTGATTGATCTTGATGATCAGCGTTGTCTCCTTCGTTGTTTCTGGCAGATGGGCTTGCATTGCCCCACCTAATTTTGCATACACAATAGTTTTGTAAGATAACTGTTTGGAAACGGTTTTTGATTGAAACGAGCTGTAAATGAGTGGCACGAAATGCACCTTCAACTCATGTTCAGTAATAAATCATTGTACGATGTTAAGCAATGGTTTTTACTACTCAACAACTAGTCAGGGATTTAAATGTAAAAATATTGAATTAATACTGTAACTTTTAAGTAATTTAGTTGAATGTTAATGATTATTATATTTTATATAAATAATTATAACAAAAAAGAAAATTACTAGAAAAAAAAGAAGAAGACACAAGGGAATTTACATAGCTTTCAAAACTAATTTTAAGCGGAATTCTTGAAAAATATATTTAAAAAATTATTATGGTATTCCTTTACGTCATCTGAAAGATCTTTCTATGGTAAAAATGATAATGAACTTAAGCTAGAATAACAAGTACAATAGAGCCAGCACATAAATGAAGAAAGAACGTCTCACATCATGAGCCTCGTAAGAATTATTCCGAGGTAAATCGACAATTCTTGTGACACTGAATTATAATGAAGAATTTCCTAATTTTTGAGTAATTTAAAATTACTGCTGACTACGAGAATATTAGCAAAGTCCATTCTGTATCACAATATATTAAAATAAAATTTTTGGAGTATGTTCAAAGCAATGTAAATTGTAAAATAATCTGAACACACAGGCATCGTAATTAATAACTTAGGACTTTAAATTATTTTCTAAAAAGGTCAACTTATTTAACACATATTCTAAAAACTATTGAGCATCTAGCCCAAATAAGATATCGGCTAGTGCAGAAATAAACTTACAATGCACCAAGGACATTAAGCATAAAAGTATTATAATTTATCGCCCCAGCATAGAAAGGTATCTTCAAACTCAAAAACAAAAACGAACCTTAGTCTTGTGTTAATAACATGGGCTTAGGGCGTTTTTTACTTTTTAATTTAACGAGATACCTTTTTGCACTAGAGCGATGATTTAAACAATTGGTAAACGAACATATTTTTTAGTGAATGTTAATGAGGCATTTTTAAATATTCAATAATAATTTCAAGTAAATATAAAAAGTAAAATTAAATATCTTACCTAGATTTCCTAGTTTCTCGTCGTCTGTTTTCTCTTTCTTCTTTGTCATTTTTTCTTCGTTCTTCAGATTTTTCGCTACTTCCTTCCATAAGCTCCATACCGTCGTCTAATCTCGGTCCTCCGGGTCCCAGCAGTCCATCTCTCCAGGGGCCTTCATTCATCAGTGGTCCACCCATCAAAGGTGGAGGCATGCCTCTGCTAGGGGGACCATCAATACTGAAGGGTCCTCTGCCTAAAGGCGGAAGGGGACCACGTCCATCGTCGTATGCACCTCCTGCTCCTCTGAAGAATGGCCCATCTGGACCATCAAATGGCATTGGACCGCCTCGAGGGCCATATGGTGGTCTCATTGCAGGACGCATGCCGCGTGGTCCTAAACTCCTTGGATGGAACATCGGACCTATTTAATGAAAATTCAATTAGTAAAATAGCGATTAACTAACTTTATATTTATTCTTAAAGTTAAAGAAAGATTAGGAAAACAAAAATCGATAGAAACGTACCGAGTCCACCTCGACCCCCTCTAGGACCGAATGCATCAGGGTTGCCCATGATACCACGAGGTGAGAATCTTGGTGACATACCTAAAGGTCCGAACTTATCTAACATATAAAATTCTCGTCTTCGGTCGAAATCTGCCATCTCTCTCAACTCGAACTCGTCTAAAGGCATTCTTGGCATGTCAAACGGCGGTGGTATGTCACCAGGAGCATTTCTGCCTCCACGCATGTCGAAATCAAATGGAGGACCTCGACCACGTTCGAATTCATCCAAACGACCAGGTGGCTGTGGCCGCCCGTCTTTATCTCGGCGCAGGTCATATTCATCTGGTCGCCCCGAAGGAATTGGAAAGTCATCGGGAGGTCCAAATCTAGGCCCCAACAGGCTTCGAGGTCCTTCCATGAAGTCGTCCATTGAACCACTGCGACCACCCATGGGTCCAACGCGGGAACCAAACGGCCGATCACGATCGCCTTAATCATTAAAAATATTTTAGTTGAATTGACCCAAGAAATGACGCTTATAGATTAGAAATAAAAATAACCAACTTACCAGGACCAGCACCACGTGGAAAATCGCGCACATCCCTCTCAGAGACTCTAGGTCCACCAAAATTTGGATTTCCTGGAAAGTCAGGGACTGGTGGTACACCCGGAAACTTGGCCGGTAAATCGAGCAAACTCGGCGGGCCTTCACCTGGCCGCCTAGCGCCAGCAAGCAAACTCGGTGGGGGTGGTTGACCCTCCATCGAGGAAGCTCGTCCAAGTCTATCGCTGGAGCTACGGTCCATTCTTTCGGAACTGCGATCGTTCGACCGACTTCCAGTAGGACCACCAGTGCCACCGCGCATATCTCGATCAATATTGCGATCGTCGATCAACGGCAATGTCCCGTCCGCTAATTGTCTGAGACGATCAGCGAGGCTCAATTTCGGACCCATGCCATCTTTTTTGTCGTTTTCACCAATATGATTACCACCTAGTCCTTGCAAGCCTCCTGGGCAGTTAATCATGTCACGCATTGGCGAATGTCGATTATCTCGAGCTTCGCGATCTCTTCTCTCGTCTCTGTCGTTTCTGTTGCCGTTGTCTCTACTATCACGTCTGTTTCTGTCTCTTCCACCTCGATCTCTTCCACGGCCTCTGTCTCTACTTCGATTGTCATCTCTGTCTCTGTCGCCAAGACCTCCTCTGTCTCTGTCTCTCCTATCACGATCTCGTTCGCGATCGCGGAAGCTGTCACGCTCATCTCGATCGTTTTTCATAGCTGCAAGTAGCTGATCGCTTAGCAAACTTGGCGGTTTACTGTGTTGCTGCTCTTTTATGGGCGGAACCATATCGTCTTCCATATCAACGTCCATATCGTCTGACATTGGTAGAGGTGGGTTTTGTTGTTGCTGTTGTCTTTGATTCTGTTGTGACATGGGTGGCATTTGTTGCAACGGCATTGGTGGCACACCAAATGGTTGGCGCATCATAGGAAGATTAGGCATTCCTGGCTCTGTAGTTGGAGGCGCAACACCAAGTGGTGGAACATTATGAGGCATACCTATAATTAAGTGTCAATTGTAAAATATTGATCGGTACTTATCCAAATAGTTTCGACATAACTTCGCTTCCTCTCAATACTTTTTATTTCAATTCGTGAATAAAACTTACCAGTAGCATTTGGTTTGTCCGAAGGAGCTGCTGGTGTGGGCATTGGTATTTGGGTAAGTAGACCGAAGGGTGAGTTAACGGACTGCATCATTTGCTGCATCATTCCGGGCATAAGGCTCTGCATATTTGGTGGTGGAACACCGAGGGGTACGTTACCCATCAAACCAGGAGGCATTTGAAGACCCATTGGTCCTAACATTCCAGCTGTAATAATTGAAACAATAAGATTAATTAGTTAACCATTTGGAAAATTCAGATTTTTATTCATGTTAATCGATTATAGATTACAGTTAAAATATTATACTTACGAGGCATAGTAAAACCAGGTGGCATCATTTGTAATTGATTGGGAGGTGGCATAATAGGTGGTGCCGGAGCGTTGGCGGGTGCTGTTGGAGCACGGACCGGAGGAGGTTGACTAGTATCAACCATCGGCGCACCAGAAGATGTTGGTACACTATGTTGTCCCATAACATCATTCATATTTACCATACCAACTGATTGCATATGAGTTAAGTCCGAATCATTCTTATTATGCCTTCTTCTGCTCTTTAACCATGGAGGCATCGAATCTTCGTCGATCATTCCACCTTCTTCAAATAATTCAAGCTCTTGATCTGATACATTAGCAAGTTTATTCCAAGGTATATAAGTAACTCCTGCTTCGACTTCCCAATAATCTTTCCAGTCTTTGCCTTTAACGCCTTTGCCAGGGGCCCATGCCAACTAATAGATTAAAAAAATTACATCCATAATAAGTCAGAGCTTTTGCTTATATAAACTTTTATTAGAAAAGAATGTTACCGTTATAGCTTTTCCTTGCATTTTATGATTTTTCAATTTGGTCAATGCTTTATAAGCGTCTTGTCTTCTATTCATGCATATAAATGCGCAGCCTCTCGGAGATATCAAATCTATACTAACAATATCACCTATTTCACCAAAAGTATCTGATAATTCCTCTTGATGAACTAGTTTCGATAAATGACCAACCCACAACGTTGTACTACAAACTAAAAAAAGTAAAAAGAACATCAGCTGTTATTATTGTAATTTCAATTTAAAGAACCACGATTAAGTGTAAAATAACTTACCACTAAGTTTTTCTCTCATCAAAGGCGGAAGACCACGTTTTCGACGTTCTCGATCTTTTTCTCTCTCTTCTTCCGTCATTTTATCCCGACCATCATCATGTTTTCGATCTCGTGATCGCGATCTACGACGATGAGATCGAGAAATTGAAATCGATCTAGAACTGGATCTGGTTCTCGACCTGGTCCGACTTCTCGATTTCCGTCGGTGTCTAGGAGATCTTGATCTAGAACGTCGAGATCTGTAACGATCAGGAGAGCGACTCGAAGATCTTGGCGGTTCATTAACTATTTCTACACTGTTTTCACGTCTAGGCATATTGCTATTGAAAATAATTTTGGTTTAGTAGGAGAAAATGAGAAAATATCGCTTGATTGTGAAGTACATACTTCTCTTCAATACGAGGACTCTGAGTTATAAGTACAGGCTGATTGTTGGAAGTTAAATTTGCTTGGGATATTGGTGGTCTCATCAAAGGTGGCGGTGGTTGTGCAACAAATGGCATGTTTGACGGATAGCCTGGAGGAGGTTGACTCATATCTTGTGGCATCATTGGCAATCCCATTAAAGGAAATGGCACAACTGGTGGTGGCGGAGGAGGTGGCGGTGCTACTGTCTTTGGGGCATCACTTGGTTTCAGTTCACATTCCGAAGCAAACGGAAGAGTCTGAAAAATCATTAAAAGTAATTATTATAGATCATTATTACAATAAGAACTATAGATGTCTTTGAATGAACTTTTATCATGATACATACTGGTACTGTTTGTGCTAAATGCTTATCAAATTCTTCTTCTTGTTGTTTCATTTGCTGCAATTTGCGCATCTTTTCTTCCATTTCATTTTGTGCTGAATGTGTGCTATTTTGCATGGTCTGTTGCAAAGCTTGAATTTGTCTCAAAACCTGGTAAAATAAATCAATTTATTAATAATGTTATTACATTATAAATATTGTAGAATGAAATGTATTGATATAGTGTTTAGAATAAAATAATGATTACCTCAGGATTGGTGAGAAGGAGTCCTAAACTTTCTAAATTATTAGTAGCAGAGGTCATGGCATTGTGTTGAGCTAGAGCATTTTGACTTAATTTTGGTGATGTAGAAATATCATCATCTTCCTCTTCTCCGTAATCAAAGTCAAGCAATTTTTTGTCAAATTTAACTGAAGAACTTTGACTTGCTTCATTACTTGCAGCCTCCTGTTTTTTTAATAGCAATTGCTGTAAATGCTGCAATTGATCAAGGAATGAAACATCCATTTGTTTTGAACCAACCTGCTCCTAGTAGACAAAATATCACATACGATTCTCCTGATTATATTCTGCATTTACTTTAATCATGCCCAATTTTTAAAGTCAATTTTCAACATAGATTTTGGAGTTTACATATTTGAGTTTAGAATGTTTTACCAACGAATAATTTATAGCTTTTTCTATCCAAACAAGCAGTCAGAATAAACAACTCAGGAGAGGAATGTCAAACTAAGAGCAGGTTAAAATATTATATTTTAAAAGATTAAAGAATAAGCCATATTCATGTATATTATAAGAGTACTCGAGTATGCTTCAAAATTGCTATACACAAACCAGAAACTTTAACAATCGTCAAGTTTTCTCTGTCAATTTTAGAAGACTTCTTAACTGATTGATATAGTGACAATTGCTAAGTAACAATTTTTTGGTTTGTCTAATAATTTGAACTTCTCAAGCATAGATTATCTTCAGTTCATTGTAGAGAAAGATTTCTCATGCAAATACAAAGTTGCACAAAAAGAAAAGAATTAGAAAAGTTGCATAGTACATGAATAAACCACAACAGTTCATTCACACTTACCATTAATTTGTTGGCATTGACTATATTAGCCGTCTCCATTTTTGTCTGAGCTAACCATGCTGGATCTATAGGCTTAGCTGTGGTAAATAGTTTTTGGTCCTTTGGTGTATTTTTGGCAGTAGATGGCAAAGATTTTAATGGCGTACTTGTGCTTAAGTTGTTACCTAAAATGTTAAAAATAAATGAAATTAACTGATGGTTTAAAAAGTAATAAACTCATTTAATGTTTTGATAATTTACCATTTGACTGTTCCTTATGAATAGGATGGTTAGGATCAGCTAGATCAAAAAGCGGTTGTATAACTTCAGGTGGGAAAACTGAATTCTTTTGCCAAAGATTCAATACTCTTATGACTTTACTCTTATCTTCTGGTGGACACTTGAGCAAATTTAAAAAAGTTTGTTGCATATTTTTGGCGAATCTTGGTGCAAACACATCTTTGTCAGGGCCAAATTGATGTCTCGATTGTCTGACTATTGAGTCGATGACGTATAAGCCGGGAACTTTGTACTCTGCTTTGCACTGCAACGTATAAGGACGATAATTAGTTAAATGTAACGTACAATTTGAGAAGTTACAAAATTGAAATTGTTTTTACTTTTTGGATGAACTTCTCCACACTCTGAACGACATGTTTGTAGAATTTGATGGCCTTGATAGCTCCCCTGGTAAGGGAGTTCATCTTAGCCTTCGATATCGGTGGCTTGACATCGTAAAGGCTTGATAGCTGAAAACAAATAGATAAACATCATTAATAACTTGTGATTTCATTGCATCAGTAAGAATGAACAGAGATAGGTGTGGAGGCTGCGCATTCAACATCATTATTGCACAGTTAGTATCAGTAATGACACTCATCAACCCGTTCTACGATTATAACCAATAAAGGCGTACACTCATCCGCATTTGTAAATAAGAGATCACAATGCATCTCGTTCATAACTTTTAACACATTGCACACCCAGACTTACCTCGTTGTTGAAAGCTTTGACGGCGTCCATGATGGGGCTCGCTTAGGTCAGCTTTTACAAGCCGCCGGCGATGCCAAGGTAACTCGCCTCTCGTTCAGCGTGGGTGCCGAGAGGTGCAGGTTCGTGATGATGAAAAAAAAAGGGCGCCGCGTCCCCGCTACAAATTATATCGTGCACTCGTGTAGTGGCGCGTGGACACACAACTCACACAGATCTCCGTGTTTATATTTACGTTACACGTAAAATACAGCCCACGCACTTTAGGTTATTTAAGCACTATACTACTCTCAGAGACAGAGCCGTGAGCTCTCATTAGTTTTTCTTTAAGAAAGAGTTGCACACTCTGCAGCAGCAGCAGCAGCAGCAGCAGCACAGCACTGTAGTGTAAGGCCAGCCAGCCAACACTCAAGCAGCAGATCAGAACGCGCCTATATATAGCTATGTATATAGACACGCAGAGAATTGTATCACATACGCGTATACACAGATGCGTTTTTGAACATGAGGTCAGATAATCCAGACACTGCACTATAATACATGCACTACGGCGACGGCTATGACGATGACCGCGACAATGATGACGAGGGTTAAGGGTACGTGTCCCACCACACTACACGTATACTCGATGCAATGCTATATAGCTAGCAAGAGATAACCCTACGCGCGGTGGTCGTCAGCGCTCTTCGTAGCCATTTACAAGAACTTCATTTCACCCGCCCGCGAGGTGTCGGACTGTATTATTGGTAGCAGTATCTTAGAGAGCTAATTGTTGTTGACAAATTGTCGTTGTTGAGGTCGGTGTGCGCGGGAGGAGGAAGACGCTGCGAACTCAGAGCTGCGTGAGTCGTGCTCGTGTATCTATGCTACGGTGGCGGCGGCGGCGAAGACGACGACGTCGTGTACAACGTCGTTAGTGCCGACAAGGCCATACCATTTGCCGTTGACCCGTTGGACTACGTGTGCCTCTTGTATATTATTATACTTTTGCAATTATCTATATCTATTCTCTCTCGCTCTCTCGGTCTACTTTGTACGCGTTTTACAAGTGTGTTTTAGCTGCAGCAGCACAACCGCACGCATACAGAAATACTATACACGTAACTAGATTTGATAGGTGTTATGTATATATGTATGTAACAATTCGCGCGGAGCAGCAGCAGCTCGAAGTAAGACGACGACGACGACGACGTTAAGTCTTACTTATGTGTTGGTGCGAGCGTGTGCAGAGCCAATCGTCGTAATATGTATATAGTATCGAGAAAAGTCTAGTGACTAGTCTCTCTCGTTCGGGAATTCAGTGCATGCGAATCGTGTATATACGACGATGATATGGCGAGAGAAAGAGACGGAGCGATGCGGTGGCCCCCACAATGTACGAGTACAAGATGGCGGCGGCGCGGCCAAGCTGCAGCCTATGCAGAGTCGCGCGCGCGCCGAACCATCCATCGAATATATAGTATAGAACTCGGAAACAGTTGCGCGCGCATTTTCAGTGTGATGACGTCTAGTAGACAGGAGAAAAAGCGGGGTAAAAGCGTATATAAAACACATATACCACACCGCGCCGCGAAGTCAAAGTCTTGGAATCGAAATGCGTGTATTTTGAGATTTGGGACTCAAGGTGTCGCTCGTGCTTGGCAGCTTTCAAAAATCGCTGTTGCTCTCTCGTCTCCCCGATGGAAGATGGAATGTGGCAGTCAATGAACTTTACTCATTATGGTGGCTCGCGGTGACATTTTTGAAAGAAGCGTTCGGATCGCATTGTATAATATGGGTTTGTTTTGGAGCCCGCATATACGGAGATTGCGCTGCCGCGCGTGGCGCGTGTCGTTGACACTGTACTAATGTCGTTTTTTCGACTCTTTCACTTGATTTACGGCTTGAGATAATGCACGACGCGCGATTTTCGATCGAGGATAGGTAATTGAAATATTTGTCAAGAATCACAGTGGCAAATTATAATTTGATCGTTTTGACTCATTGATTTTGTAGGGATAATCAATGATTAGCTTTTTACTTTATGAACTGATGTTGGATTATTCATTATTCATTAATAAAAAAAAAGTTCGAAAAAAACTTTCGAGAGAAATTCAACGGGACTATTTCTTCCATTCCATTTGCATAATCAAATTGCAATCGATTAGCAATAGTTCATCTATTAATAAGTCGTCACAGTAATAAGAACTTGTACCTAAAGTGCATCATCGTAAACCTTTTGAATCGCAAGTGGCAATGATACACGCATACACAATCGTCGTTCTCTTGATAATTCAGTGGTATAGATCATCGTGTCGGTAGGCGCGTACGTATAAGTACTGCGACCGAGATGATATATATTCGCTCTATACTGCCACTCTATAGTAACTCCCTCCCGGCTGCTAGTGCAAATTTATTTCGTCACCAGCTCGTTTCAAGTATTAACGAGGGCACGCGTGCATGCACGATCTCTCGTAAAAAAAAAGGGGCAAAACCAATTTTCGAGATAGCGTATGTATATAGGTGTATATATATAGTCGAGCGTGCACATCGAATATAAACACAGAGACTTTACGCATAATCTGCACTGCACCGAGCCCCGAGCTGGTGCGCTGCTGTGTGTACATAATAGCCCTTTAAATGAGATATGAGCTTGTGTATACGTATAGATAGTGTGTATTATTGCCTTACTGAAACATGCAACGCGCGCGTGCACTCCATCATCATCCGCGCGTGTGTGTGCGCCATACGCCTGTCTATAATACTACATATAGGTATGCCGCCGCCGCGTTTTCTCGCATTCATCTCACGCGCGCTCTATTCGCGCCTTATACAACCAATGTGTGTTATGTGTGTATGTTTACATTTTAATTGGAGCACTAATCCGAAATGCGCGCGGACGTCGCGCTTATTTAATCGCCGAGTTGCTGTCAGTCGCAACAAGCATGCGAACAAACAAAAACATTATATAGATACATAAGCGCGAGCGTGGGCGGGCGGCTCGCTCGCCTATACGCGAATTCAATATGATAATTAGTAAACGCGCACACGCGAGTCCTGCGATGATAATATGACGATAACGATGGTAGTTGAGGTTTCGATCGATGATCATTACGCTCGTTTCGACGAATCTCCTTATTATACATGTCTATAAAGCTACTTATACGCGAGGTAAGCTTTCGAGAGAATACCTCAACTCGATCCTCGTGCTCCTGTTTCAGGTATAAGGATATATCAATATTGCATAATAGCTCAAACCCTCGAGAATATCAATTACTCGTGTAAGGATGCCTGAGCACAAGTACCTTACACGGCTCAGTTTCCGAAATCGCGCCGAGCTCGATTCAGCTCCTCTCTATATTACACATTATTATAACGTACATACTATGTATATACCCTCGCGTGTGCATAGTTTATACAGCGTCATTATCTCGCGCGAAACCAGAAGTGCAACGCCTCATTACAAGTCTTTCGTGGCTTCGCTGTACCTTATTATACCTATATGCAACCCACTACTTACCGAGCCTTTATACCCTTTGATAGGGTAGTAAGTATACTGACTTTTGATATATATTTGATGTATATACCTATATGTAGATCGCGAAAAAGTCAAGCCCCCCTTTGCGGTGCTCTCGCTCGGCGAAGTAAAAGCAAGTGCTGCGTTGCGCTGCGCTGTACCCGCCGCGACGGGGGTAGATATAGGATACAGTTGCAGCAGGTAACAAGCGCTTGCGCGCGTCGACCATACTCTGCACCACCACTACCACCACTGCCACTAGCACCGGAGCCCTGTAGTATTATCATCACAAAAGTCTATGGTATATCTCTCTCTCTCTCTTTCTGTGCAATTTTCAGCAGTTAGAGAGCAGTCAGCAGCAGCAGCGGTAACAGTAACGGCGCAGCGCCAACAGCTACAGCAGTAGTAGCCAGCAACCCCCGCGAGTGCGTTGAGAATAACAACGCCGCCGCGCATCTCACACTTTGTGCGCATTTTGCTCTCTCTCTCTCTCTTTCTGTGCGGTGCAGGGTGCGTTTTTTCTTATCGCGCTGCGTTTTGTACGTAGATAAAGCTTCGAAGCGTAACACGGCACAAACATGCATCACAGATCGCCGGAAGTCTGTGGCGCGACGTCGCCCGTCGTAATGATCGTGTAAAAAGGTGTCAAGGAGTCAGGCGATGATTATTCCCTCGTTATTGAAGATCAACTCGGAAACAAACATGTAACGACGAAAAAAAAAAGAAAAGACGTGTGTCGCGCGCGCGCGTCCAAAGCTGTGCAGCTGTTGTGTGCAGGATATATATATATATATAAATACAAATAATAATACACTGCGTGCGTTGCGTAAAAAAAGGAGCTGAGGATCCGACATGAGGCTGTATCTCGGCAACGTAGTGACCCTCGTGTCCGTGAGAAAATGCTTCTACCTATCGAGCGTCGTGCTCGTACTGTCGACGATGATGGCAGCCGTGATCATCGTCAAGCTGTCGCCCCTCGAGTCGGTCAAGTGTCAGCCGCAGGCCGTCACCGCCGCCGTCGAGTGGAACACGTTGGCCAATAATAACAACAATAATATCAACAATAATCGTCGACACGGTAATAATAACAGATTCTCGGCGAGACCGCCTTACGCCGCGGCGGCCACGAGCACCGAACAAATGACGACGGAGAGGACGACGACCACGACGACCGAGCGCAGGATCAATTATTTGTGAGTATATACATTGAGCTGCTTTTGTTTTTGTTTTTGTTTACCCGTGCTATAATTACTTTGTGTCATGTGAACGCCTGCTGACTGTCATCTCTTGTTTTACAGTGAAAGCAGACGCGAAAACAATGAGAGGAGGTACAAAGAGATGAGAGAAAAAATGGTACAAAACAAGATAGCTAGGATGTCTAGAAAAATGAGAAATAAGGTATTGCCACTGCTCAACAACAGTGGCGTTGTCGAACCCAACTATAATGTCCACATATTCTACTATGCCTGGTATCGCTCCATGGAGTACGATGGCTTCTGGAAGCACTGGAACCATGACATACTGCCCAATTGGAAGAAAAACGACAAGAGAATTTTTCCAGAGGGAGCACACATGCCACCAGCCGATATAGGGGCTAATTTTTATCCTAACTTAGGTTGTTATAGTTCACTGGATCCACAAGTGATAGATTTACACATGAGACAGCTGAGAGATGCAGGCATTGGTAAGGGAATATATCCAGCAGAGGGACAAATATAATTCTTCTGTAATTATTCATGATTCATTTATTTATAGGTGTAGCTGTAGTGTCTTGGTCACCGCCAAGCAGTATAGATGACACGGACTCAATAATGCCAGATATACTGGATGCAGCTCACAGATATCAACTGAAAATTGCTCCTCACATAGAACCTTATCCTGGAAGAAATCCAATTAATCTCATGGAACACATAAGATACCTGCTGAACCAGTACGCGTCTCATCCAGCCCTGTACAGAATGAAGAGAGAGAGCGAGTACGTATAGATAATTGTGAATTCAGAATATATACGAGGCCAGTTAAGAACTTATAATCACACAAAAACTCATGAAAATTCGCCTACTTCCGAATTCAGTTTTCTAACTGCATTGGGCAATTTTTTTTCTTTCTTATTACAATATTCATACATTCATTCATGAATAATTCACGAATTCACGCGGAGAGGAAGTTTCTCTCTCGCTCTAGTCTTAATCTCACACACCAGGTGTATATATTCTGTTCGCGGGATGATAATACCTGCATGTATAAAAGTCGAATCTGTTTTTTTCCTTTTTTTTTTTCGCTGCTGCAGCGGAGCCGTCCTGCCGGTGATGTACATCTACGACTCGTACGTGTTCCCGTCGAGCGCCTGGTGGGAGCTGCTGTCGGACAGGGGCAATCTCACACTGCGCGGCACCGAGCTCGACGCGATCTACATCGGCCTGCTGGTCGAGTCGGCCCACCGCAATCACATCAAGAAGTCGCACTTCGACGGCTTCTACACGTACTTCGGCATCAACGGCTTCAGCTTCGGCAGCTCCTGGAAAAATTGGCGAGATCTCAACAAGTTCGCCAATCAGAACGGGCTGCTCTTCATTCCCAGTCTCGGGCCCGGATACATCGATACTCAGGTACATATATATATATGCTTGAATTTATACGTCCAACCAATCGACAAATTTGTCTTTCCTATAGCCGAATCGGCACTCGAGAAAATCCGGTATAACTCAAAGTCGATGGTAAAAAGTTATAGTATACGCATGATCCCATACAGATATATATTGGCAGCTCTTGTGTACCGTAAAAGGATGACGACGGAGCGGCGCCCGCGCCCGACGTTATGTTACATATATATACATATAGATACGATTCATTCCCAGATAGCATCATATCAAATTGAAATATTGATCGCATTAGTCTTGGGGCTCGTGACATCCTCGCGTAATTCGCTCGATCTCTGAAATATGTATAGCATCGATATATGTCTGTGCGCGCCGCGCTTCTTTAAAAAATACAAAAAAAGTAAAAAAAAAAGAGAGAAGGAAGCAAAAAAAAATGAGCGCAGCGCGCGCGCTATCAAAGCCCGAAGAGATGAAAAATTCAGACGCTCACGCTTACATCTCGGTGTGGTGGTGGTGGCATCGACGTTGCAGCAGAAGCGCAACAAATATACCTTTAACATTTTTCTCTATCTCTCGCTCTTTCCATCCTCCTCTCGAGCGATGAAATAAAAAATGCATGAGTTACAACCCGTCGACGGCAGCGAGCGAAACGCGCGAGACAAATCAAATCTCTTTGATACGATTACCACCGTGGCTGTGTATTATATATAATGCAACGCCGCGCCGTTGAATTTACAAGTTCGCGAAGGCGCGAAATTCACGAAGACGACGATCTCTAATGAAAACGTATCGTATATACGATCATTGTATTCCTTCGCATGTTTATATGTATATAGATAAGGCCATGGAACGCGGAGAACACGCGACACCGTCGCCACGGCCAGTACTACGAGGTGGCCTGGCGCAGCGCCCTCAACAGCGGCGCCGGCATGGTGTCGATCACCTCGTTCAACGAGTGGCACGAGGGCACCCAGATCGAGCCCGCCAAGCCCGCGAGCAATCGGGACTTCACCTATCTGGACTACGAGCCCGAGGGCTCGGACTTCTATCTCAATCTGACCAAGTGGTGGGTGCAGCAGTTCACCGAGAAGCTCGGCTACTATTACGCCGCGTCGGCCCTCAGTTAGATCGACCTTCTTCGAAAAGAGGATGTACTATAAAAAAAAAAGTGCGGAGCGCGCGTTTACGTATGCCGCGCGGGGGTAAGTCGATATAACCATTGTATACACACAAACACACATGTCATCAGTCAGAAAATACGTATTATTGCATGCCAAGAGCGTGTCGTCGTCGTCGTTTTTCTCTTTCACGAACGTCTGACGATAATGGAGCGCTTTTCTCTCTTACGCGCGCGCGCGCGCGCCTCTCTCCTTGATGGATCGACGAGGTGGCATTTTTGTTTTTTTTTCCTTTTACTCAAGGGTGCACGCGTTGACATTATTTTATTACAGCATGAATCACTGATTCAATTTACTGCCAGTTTATATACATAAATAAAAATCGAATTTTTAATTGTTTGTATTCGTTATTACGAGCTGTGTTCAACGAGAGACTCTGTGCAATCGTATCCGATTGCCGTTTTATAAAAAAAGAAAATGAACCGACCGGTTTACGCTTATTAAATTTAAGTATTTTTATCGATTGTTGTACATAATTTCAACTGGTACTTATATATATTTTTCCAACCAAAATAATAAGAAAGTATACATACGTTTTTCTCTCTCTCTCTCTCTCTCTCTCGCAAATATCATTTTTATCGGATATAAAATGATGCCGAAGCGCGTCGGCGGCAGCGCACAACTTTATTTTATTGAGAAAAACAATAAGCGGATAACGACTGATGAATCGGCTTTAAACTTTTGCGTCCGTACATAACAAAAAGAAAAAGATCCTATTTGTAATTATAGAGAGTAAAGAAGATTGTGTAAACGAGAGCGATCGTGCGTGAATTTAACCAATGATCGATACGCAGGGAAGACCAATTCGAGAGCGATTTTATTTAAATTTACGTCTCAAATAAACACAACACAGTATTATATTTATAGAATTCTAAAACAAAAAAAACATATATTATATATATTATAATAAAGCTCCAATTGTATTACCTGATTAGCCTGACTAGATTAATTACGAAAGATATAACAAATTTAAAAGTTTGTATCGTAGGGGAGGAGCGAACAATTTTTTAACTGAACGATTTTATCTTGTAGACGTAATTAGAGTGATAATGATAATTATGGATCTTATTATGAATTTGTAAAAATGGAAAAATTGTCATTTTCTACGTGCTCTCTCGTAGCTCCTTTTTGATTATTCAATAATAATTACATTAAAAATAATAATAATAATGGTAATGATAATAATAATTGTTGATACTTAATGCAGTTCAAACGAATTTTCAGCGTGTATGCGCGTGTTACGAAGCATAGAAGCGAATGAAAAAATAAAAGCCAAAGTACACGAGGTATTATAAATGAAATTTCAAAGGCGTAGATGTAAATCGCAGATTTTTTCTAAAGGGCAGTATCTTACGTTGGAAAAAATAATTTATCGTACGAGTGCATTGCTCTCCAACACGCACATCAGCATGACCGCGTACGTAAAACGCGGTTGGCTTTTTTTTCAACACGACCCGCGCCCGCGTATATATGAAAACTCTTTACATGCCCCACGGCAACTTTTCCCTCTCGCACGCGCGCGCTCGCAGTAATCATCGTGCCGCACATAACAAGGTCTTTCAATCGATAATTATGAAAAATAATTTTTAAGTAATGGGCAGCGAAGCGCGCGATAAGTTTAATTATCGGCGCGGTTAATTTTGATGAACTTTCCACTTGCACGTGATTTCTCGCTACGATATCGATTTATTATAACATTTTTTCGGAATTAAAATTAACAAATAGAAAAGGTCGGTGGTGGTGGTGTCGCCCGGTGAAGCGAAGTAAATAATAAATTTTTTATAATAAAAGTTTAATCCTATCGTAGAGTAATGCGAGACGGTTTTACCTTTCGACCAAAACTGATACAATAATAGTTGTTACGATTTATAGCTGTCTTCGAGGAAAAAAAAAAGTAATCAACTTGATTTGTAGTTGTTGCATGGATATAAATACGCATTGAATCTCGAGTTATAAACTAATATGTAATATAAAGTAAAATATCGTGGGTAATTTATTACATTATAATACTCCACGGTTCATGAAAAATTCAAGCTTTTTCATTCGTCGAATTGAATATGACGAGATAATAAACTGCAGCCGAACTATACCTCAGAAGCGACCGATTCTAAAAAGAACCTGCATTATGCATACATTCTCGCGCTTTATCGATAATTTTGAGTGATTTTACTGAGGTGCTCGTGTAACTATAAACGGAGTGGTGCTCATTTTTAAAAATAAATGTTATAAACTCTAACGATTCCTTGCCCCGATGGTCGTGTACTTGGTATAGTTCGGCGAATTCTCGATTTTTTATCGCTATATAATTGTAGTTAATGAAATCTTGTGCGTAAAATACGTATTGTACATTTGAAATATGAGTGCAGGCGATGTTGTTTTGAAAATCGCGTGCTGTTATAAAATTAATATTCCTAGACAATAACCTCATTGCTCCCTTTTTCCCTGTCCTAATGCAGTCACAGGGTATACCGCATACACACAATATAAAAAAAATTTGAGCTGTCAAGCCGGCGTTCTATTATTATAAATAATATTAATAAAGTTAAAAACTTTTCTCTCTTGTATGAATAATACAATTTTTAGGATATAATTAATCGTACGTTCGCGAAAAAAAAACAATTAGCGAGGTTTAACAGTATTTGAATGATGCTAGTCAGATTATGATAACGTGGGAGATGATAGGATCTGTGAAAATACATGTTAGACTTTTTTAACTATCTCTCCAATCCGGAATCAAAGTATTATTATGTAAAATATTTAATCTCGTCGATACGAATGAATAATGGTAATATTGTCAATGAATGTTTAATTACATCGGTGCGAAAATTTTTCGCAAGAGAAGAGTCACTTTTTCTTCCTACGATGTGACTGTTCATAGATTGACTTCAGTTAACTTGACTTAAAAATTCTTCGATTATATTTTATTAGAGAGTTATAGTGCTTTCACAGTGGGCATGTACTCACGTTTTATAACACAACTACACTAAAGAATTTTGAATTCGAGAATATTATCATATTAGCAAATATTCAGATATATTTTTAAATACGTGAAAATTTCAAAATGTTATCATGATCGGGAATACTCGAGAATTTTGTTAATACCGTGAATAATAGAAAATATGTTTATAATAAACGTCAATATTTTTATAATCGCGTGTATACGCAAAAATCGAAAATATTTTGATATTTGAATATAACACGATGTATAAAACAACCACTTAAAAGCCCTTTGAATTCAAAAATATTTCCATATTAGAAAATATTTTGATGTATGTTCATTATCAGAAATTTTTTCATATCCGCGTTTATTCGAAACAATGTTTGAAAACAAAAATATGTTTATACTTGAGTATATGAGCGAAAAGCGAGGATATTTTTATATTCGAGTATATGTGTGATAACACAATCACTCGAAAGTACATTGAATTCAAGAATATCATCATATTAGCGAATATTCAGATACATTTTTTATATACGCTATTATTTGTATGTCCGTGAACATTTTAAAGTGTTAACATGCTCGAGAATACTCGAGAATTGTGATAATTCTGTGAATAATCGGAAATATGTTTGTAAACATGAATATTTTTATATTCCAGTATGGCCGCAAAAATCGAAAATATTTTAATATTTCAGTGTACGTGTATGACACAACCACAAGAAAGTACTTTGAATTCAAGAATATTTCCATAATAGGAAATATTTAGATATATGCTTATTATCAGAAATTTTTTCATAGCCACGGTTATTCGAAAAAATTTTTGGAAACAAAAATATGTTTATCCACAAGTATATGAGCGAAAAGCGAGAAAATTTTTATATTGGTGTATATGTAGAAATTCGATAATTTTTTTCATATCTGTGAATTTTTGAAAACATTTTAAAATTCTAAAATAACTTTACTTCTGCGAATATTTTAAATTATTTTCATACTTGGGGATACTCGAGAATTGTTTTACTTCCGCGAATATTCGATGATACTTTTCAATGCAAGAATAATTTCACATACGAGTTCATGACAAAAGAATTGAGAATATTTTCATATTCGATTATATACGAAAAAATCGAAAACATTTTCATATTTTGGTATATGCGAGAATATTTTCGTATTCGAGATTATTCGAGATAATCGAAAATATTTTCACATACCCGTATATACTCGTATATACGCGGTCACGCGCGTCTACTCGTATATACGCGTATATACGCGGTCACGCGCGTCTACTCGTATATACGCGTATATACGC